CAGCGAATTAAATTTCAGCGGCTCCGCTGGCTTGGCCATGTCGTTCGAATGGACAGAAAGGCTCCTGCTCTGAAAATATTCAACGCGGGCCGCGATGTTGGTAACAGAGGAAGAGGAAGGCCTCCTCTGCGTTGGAAAGACCAGGTGGAGAAGGACTTGGCTTCACTTGGCCTTTCCAATTGGCGTCAGTTAGCACAGAAGGGAAATGACTGGCGTGCTGTTTTGGACTCGGCCAAAATCGCTTAGGCGATTACAGCACCAATTAAGAAGAAGAAGAGAAGGTATATGCGATCATAACATCACCATCACAGGCAGGGCCATCGAGAGCAAACTCGTGCTCGGACTGAAAAATTACGGGCCCCTATACAGTGGCGTAATTATATCATATGTGGCCCGTGGCAAATTCTTTGGAAAATAGAGTTTGCAAGTATGCGGAGTGATGCAATGTTTGATAAGTCTATGGAGGCAGAGGCTACTCAAAACGTATCGTACTCCACGGGCCGCTTAAGGACAGTAACAGATGTGGGGCTTAGTTTTCAATCTGCCTCTCGACGAAATTTTTAACGGTGGCACCAGGGTTCGATAATCAGACGCTAGGAAGCTTCAGTGGATTAATGTCTCACACTGACGGGGTTGTGCTTTTAGATGTTTTCGCTCGACAAAAAAAAATAAAAAATACTTAACATAAAGTAGCATAGCGTAACATAACATGACGCAACATAATATAAAATGGCATCACACAAAATATTTTGCAAAAAATCTTTAAGGAACTTACTTGCAATTATATACACACACATATAAGGGAGCTCCTTAAAAATACCAACATCGTGTTCTACGCACAAAATAAAGGCATCCACAAAAATGTCAACATTTTAAAGAGATTAAAATTAAAAAAAAATTTTTAATTGCAAAAATTAAAAAAAAACTTTTGAGTTTTATAAGATTTAACTCAGCGCGTTTGTAAATCTATATGAATATGTTTCAATACCCCTGACCTTTATCAGATTTCACTTTTTTTGGCATTTAAAAAAAATATTTTTTTCTAAACACTGGTGGCGACGTCTGAAATTTGGTTTAAATTTTGGAAATTTTCGTGGATGTTCCATACAAAATTTAGATGTTGATATTTTTAAGGACCACCGTATTCATAGATGTATGTACTATATATCAATGTATGTAGAGAAGTCGAAAGCTAACAAAATAAAATAAAACAACAGCTTTACATATTTAAATTAATATTTTTTATTTGATTTGAAATTTGTAGTGCAGACATGCCCAACTCACTAATGGCTATGTAACTTCATAAAATAAACTTCATTATACGTATTTAGTTTGAAGATAACCCAGCTCATCGGCCTTCTTCACCAGTGCCAACAAGCCAGCAAGTGTATCTTCACAGTGAGGTATTATTTGGACTGGCGGAAGAATGAAACCAAAACGCCCAGTGTCACGAAATTCGATTGTGTACGAGAGCTTGATATCCTGTTCACTGTAAGCCCAATCGTTGGTGGCGCCAGAAGCGAAGTCTGTATGGATGGTGGAATTAGTTGAACATGCACATTTATTGAGGCATTTCATTTTTTTGTTTTTGCGTTTTATACGGGTCACTCTGCAAAAAATGTGCGACCGGTTTCTAATTCAGAATTCGACAGAATATTCGCATAGAAAATCTGAAACTATAAAAGATCAACACTGCTATTAAGTAGTCACATTCTACTATGCAACGTATCCCGAAATCTTCCGATCCAACCACCCTTTATTTTTTGCAGAGTAACTTGAGTAATAATAATACAATAGATAGGTTTGTTACACTTACACATTTCATTCGCTGTAGAACCGTAAGTATAAACCGTGTCATAGGGTAACTCCTTGACCGCATCTGAGTAAGCTTTTGCCACTTCTGTCAAATCATTATGATTTTCAGGAAGCTCACTTGTCCAGCCATAAGGAGAGAGTAGCACTTGACTATACGAATGAAAGGCGAGCATAATATCTAGACGTTCCTTAATGCTAGTAACATAATCGGCGAGCGCCTTAACCTCGGGTTCGGAAAAAGGCTGCGGACCGCCATAGGTCTCATCGCAAGGATTCGAGGAAGCACCGTTGCTTTCCATCCAATGAGAATTATAGTTACGATTCAGATCAGCACCTATACACGCTGAGCCCTCCACTGGTTGGCGTGTCTTACGCCACATGCGATTCTGCGAAAAGAAATAACAATAGTAATTAGTTAAGCGGAAATATCAATTATTTTAATTAAATTAATTTTGTAACAGCACTAAATACCGTTTCGTGTGTGTACGCAAAACCATCCACATTTAAGACTGGCACTATATACCAATCATGATTCTCAGCTAAACTACGCACATCCTCGTCGGTAGAAGACAGCAATTCATTGATTAACCAAGTAGCTGTCGCTGAGGTGATCCATTCGCGCGCATGTATGTTGGCTTCGATAAAGACGCCAGGATTACCCACCTTGTAAGAGATCTTAATGCCGCGTATCTTGCGTCCTTCATAGGATGTGCCAATATTTATTTCACTCGCAACTGCGGTGTATTTCGCCAGTATTTCGTCTAGGAATACTTCAATTGCTGATAAGGGATAATAGCGTGTCCAGCCAAAGCTGCTATCGTCTGTAGATTTTGCGGGTTGCTCACCATCGATAAGACTTGGGGTTAGAGATTGTTATTATTTTATTAAAAACGTTGTTTTTGGCGTTATCTGCATTAAGTTTCCCCCTTTTACTTACCTCTGCACATTGGAGACCATAACTTCCAAAGGCAGGCTATAGGCGCGCGTATAGTTCTGTAGATGTATGAGTTTTTGTGGACTGACCATAATATGCACCTCTTTATTGCTGCTGTGCCATAAATTAAACTGGAATTTATAGTTGATTATCAGTGACAGGAAATTGCTATACAAAAGCGGTTACTCTGATAAACCACGAAAAGTTAAGGTCCCAAACTCGCTCATTGATATAACGGAAAATACATTGAAACCATTAATTTCAATGCTTTCATACACAAGACCACTGTACCGCAAAGGAATATGTATTAACTAAATGCTCAAAATGGGGAGAGAAATCGATGGAGTTTGGAGTGTTTGTGCACACGATATCAATTGATGGTATTGGCAAAATTTAATTACGGCTACTGCTCATGTAAAGGTTATTGTGAGGATTTCAATAATTGGTATAACAGCAATTACTGCAGTGAAATCGCCCAATATTGACTTAAAGAGCAATTCTTTACAAAAAACAAAATCTTTAAAAAAAAATTTGGAAAATGTGCCTGGCCTTCTCAGCAAATACCCAGCGTGCTTCATTGCTCCTTAGGGCCGTTTTTACAGTGGCGAGTAAACAGTCATTCGGCAGTTGACTACAGGTTTTCGGCAGGGTTCGGAAATATTCATATATGAATCTTCGCGAACATACATTTATGATTTTATACGCGAAGGTGAACGAATCAAATATTCTGTATTGATTCTCCTTCGCGAAAGTGAAGCATAAAACCAGTCCAGATAGTTCGCGTTCGCGAATGTTAGGTAGAAAAAATTTCCGCTGTTGTTCGTACGCGTATGTATTGGTGGACCAAATAGCGTGCGTTCATATATGTAGCTATAAGTGGCAGCGATGCCTTCGCGAAGGTTCACTGCTGTCGTTCTCCTTCATAAATGAATGAAAATGCTGCGGCTAATATTCGCGGAAAGTTGGTGTGGCTAGAGATACTATTCTGTGCGAAGGCAATTTTGTTAATTGCATAAGATTTGCACCGTTCATTCGATTTTCAAAAATGAGGTGTCAAATGAAAGGGCTTGACCTCTGGATGTGCAGAAAGGATATATTTTTTTAATAGGGTTGGCACCTCGTTTAAAATTATGTTATTTACACCGTTCTCCCGATTTTCAAAAATGAGGGCTTGTCCTCTGGATGTGCAGAAAGGATATATTTTTTTGACAGGGTTCCCACCTGCGTTTAAAATTGTGATATTTACACCGTTCTCCCGTTTTTCAAATGAAAAGGTTCGGCCTCTATGTATAAAATAAGGTTTTATTTTTTAAATATTGTTTGAAATTTCATATTAAAGAAATATTTATTTCCGCACTTACATCTATGTATTCGTAGATATGTATGTATGTACATGAAATTACTTAAATTAAAACTCATAAAGATAATTCATATTTTATGTACATGTATGTATTCTTCGAATTTAAATTAGTTTGAAATTTTGCTCATATGGCTCTATAAGCTTTTTAAAATACTCCTCGTCATCAAATATTCTGAAAGGAATATTTTTTTTAGTTATCAATCCCATGCAGCATCTTAAAAATCCAGCTTTATTTAATGAACAGTTTAATTTGGTAACAGCTTTTCGTTGTATTTTACTACTAATTTCACTACCACTTCCATCACTATTATCCATTATGTCAGTTTTGTGTACAAGTTTGTAATGCCGTCTAATATTTGCTGCTGACTTTCCACTTAATTAACGTTTGCAAGTTTCTATGAGGCATTTGCTTTTCTTAGTGCTTTCTTCATACTTCACATATCTTTCTACATTAAATTTCCTTTTTCCCATTTTTATCCAGTTATTTTTTTAATATTATAATCTTCTTTTACAAAAAACCACTTACTACACCACTCTTCTGCGCCTGTCTGATGCAGCACATATATTGTATGTGCCTTATATACGCGAGTAATAATTAATAAGCCTCTGTTTTTTACTTCTACCTACCTACTCTATATATATTAGACAAATCTATAGACTTGCTGAAATGTGCTGACCTGTAACAAAAATGAAAGCATCTTCGTTAAATGATGATCGTTAGTATTTCCCAGAAATCTTTAAGGAAAAATGTCATTCAAAAACAATAGTTGCGGTTCTACCTGCAGATATCGTTTTGAGCACACCCCTCAAAATTATTAGAAGTAGTATTTAGTATTTTGAAATAAAACGGCTTTCGCGTATGTTACATTGAAAAAATAATCTTAGGCAGCGACAATTTTTTACACCTAATATGTATACGCGAGTAATAATTACGTAAAAGGTATATTACGGATTTTTACAGTCGTGAAGGGCAGTACGTTTGTAGTTCGGATACGAAACGAGTAGTACGTCCACGACTGTCATAATTTTTATGTGACGAATTGCTCGTTCAAGACTGTTACGATTCTAGCACTGGTCTATATAAATTCTATACAGATTCGTTATAATGTGCATACCACTAACAATAATGGAATGCATTCTCTTTTATAGAAAAACATCATTCAACAGCAATATTTGCGGTTCTGCCTGCAGATGAGAATAGCCCTCACAATTATTGCAAGTGTGTAGAAATATTTTTAAACAAACAGCTTTCGCATATGTTGGGTAGAAAAATTTCGCGTTTGAATAACAGCGAAAATGACTTCTACCTAACATGTATGGAAGAAAATAATAACACCATCCACAAACTTTTTTCACATGCATACATAGTTGTACAATGTACATATGTATAAATATTGCAAATATGTAGGTAGATATGAATAAACGCACCAAAGTATAGTCATACATACATATGCACGTATAGGTTCATTTGACACGTCATTTTTGAAAATCGGGAGAACGGTGTAAATACCATAATTTTAAACGCAGGTGGCAACCCTGTAAAAAAATATATCCTTGCTACACATCTAGAGGGCAAGCCCTTTCATTTAACACCTCATTTTAGAAAATCGGGAGAACGGTGTAAATATCACAATTTTAAACGCAGGTGGCAACCCTGTCAAAAAAATATATCCTTTCTGCACATCCAGAGGCCAAGCCCTTTCATTTGACACCTCATTTTTGAAAATCGGGAGAACGGTGTAAATATCATAATTTTAAACGAGGTGGCAACCCTATTAAAAAAATATATCCTTTCTGCACATCCAGAGGTCAAGCCCTTTCATTTGAAACCTCATTTTTGAAAATCTAATGAACGGTGCAAATCTTATGCAATTAACAAAATTGCCTTCGCACAGAATAGTATCTCTAGCCACACCAACTTTCCGCGAATATTTGCCGCAGCATTTTCATTCATTTATGAAGGAGAACGACAGCAGTGAACCTTCGCGAAGGCATCGCTGCCACTTAAGCTCGGAACACTTTGACGACTGCAACTTCACGACGTAACGACAGCGACATCAATTTGTCGACAAATGTCGTCTTGAAGCCAGCTTCTTAAACATTTTGAAGACCTCAGCGACATAGCAAACAGCCGATTTTAAAGTATGACATTTTGGTATATTTATTTCACAAATTGTGTATTTTTATTTAAGTAAATAAGAAAAACATGAACAATCAAGAATATGTGATTAATTTTGCGACAATTTAATTTTGCAGCACTACATCTACTCATTGTCGCCGGCAAAATTAGAAATAGATTTAATTTGGCGACGTCGACAATTGCAGTCCTGCAGCCAAGATGTCGTGCTGTCGTCAAAATAATTGTGTCCGTAAGAACGTGTGTATTTAAAATTTGACAGATGCTGCTTGTCGCTTGCTGTCGTCAAAGTGTTCCGAGCTTTATAGCTACCCTGTAGTCAAATGAACTAGTTGTAAACTACCTTACAACTAGTATGAACCGCATGCCCAACTAGTCAGCCCACTATCTTTTTTACAAGCAACCAACTGGTATTTTTAACACGGGGATGTCCTACGAGATGGCAATTGTCAGATTTCGCTCTGAAAATAGATACAAAAATACTAGTCTAATTATGGACCAAACCCACTACTTTGGGGGTAAAAAATTAAATGAATTAATGAATATGCAATTATATGCAGCCTTAGATTTGCCAATAATAAGTGTTAAATTTTTTGAGTATTAATTAAAAGAAAAAATAAATACATAGATATTTCAAACTTTCGAATATAAATTTAAATTCATTTTTCATTAAATGTTATTAAAAGGAAAAGGTTTCAGGTACAAAAAAAACTATATTTTTATCTTTTTTAATAATATGGAATATGCAAAAGAAAACTTTTAGTTAAAAATAAAATGAATTCTTTAGATAATTTTTGAGTGAACTAAAATAAAAATAAAAGTTTTCATTAAAATAAATTAAATTCATTAACTTTGCACATTTCAGTCTATTATTTTCAAAAAAAAAAAAAATAATAATAACTAATGTTTAAAATTTGAGATTTGGATAAGAATAAAATAAATAAGTAATTCAAGCAGTTATTAAATATTCTTAATTTTTGTCTATGGTTTGGCTTGTTGATTGATAATAGAAATTTATCAAATAATTATATTAATAGTGTAATTAAAAAGTCAAGAATAATTGAAAATGAGCAATAATAACAAAATAATGATGAAATTAAAACTAATGAATTAATTGACATTTTTTTTAAGTAATTAATTCTTAATCATTAAAAAGGTGTTAATATCGGTATTCGATCATTAAACGGTTATCCAAAAAAACATGCCTTAATTAATAATCATTATGAGTATTAATCATTATTTAACCGGACTAGTATAACTGAATACGTATTCGATTTAATGGTTTACAATATACCCAAATAAAAGTTATAATATTTTGTGTACTTTATTGTATTAAACTGTCGATGTTAAATAAAACAGGGCCTGAATAAATCGTTTTGTACTTGGTACAAGTCTGGTCATTTTCGAACTAGTTTGGTTTCAGTCAGGGAATTCTAGTTGTAAACTAGTATTTTTCCTGACTAGTTTGGGATTTCACTGCAGGGTACATATATGAACGCACGCTGTTTGGTCCACCAATACATACGCGTACGAACAACAGCGGAAATTTTTTCTACCTAACATTCACGAACGCGAACTATCTGGACTGGTTTTATGCTTCACGTTCGCGAAGGAGTATCAATACAGAATATTTGATACGTTCACCTTCGCGTTCGCGTACGAAGGTGAGTGAATATTTCCGAACCCTGGTTTTCGGTACAAAAATTGAAAGTTCACTATCGAATTTTAGTTATTCCCCCAGTGTAAAAACGGCACTTAAAAGTATTTTCGTGTTGTTTGATACCCGTATAGTAATATTTCATTTCTTTTATCAATTTCATTAAACACAATTTTTCAAACAAATGGCAACCCTCCTCAAAAATATTTTCGAAAGTAAAATTTCCTAAAGCTGTTTAGTTTGATGCCCATATTGCGATATTTTCTTTATTTTATCAATTAAATTA